AGGTGAGCTAAAGTGCTGCGGTGACAAGAGGACTGAGGACTGAGGTAGTCGTCTCATGATAGACTACACCAGATTTGCTTCCACCACAGATATAACCAGCACTGGGACAGCACAACATTCTCAAACATTAAGGCTTTCCCAATGGGCCCCGAGGTTGGAAGGGGGCTGCCAGGAAGGGGTCCATCACTGCTCGAACACCTACCGTCCAGGAGTGAAGTGGCCCAACGGGGACTGAGCTCACGGCCGCCTGCTGGCCCACACTGGAGACCACGCGGTGGGCGGCAATGGGTTGCTGGGGCATCGGAGCCTCGACGCAATGAGGAAACCGGATTTGACTGTGCACGGGTGGATGGGGCAGAATGGGCTCATTGCCATTCGTGCACCTCGTTAGATGTTGCGGGCCAGACAGATCATTCCTTCTGTAGAATGGGGCCTGGAGGAAGACGTCAGGCTGCAGATGGGCTCGTTGAAGTTGAGGAAATGGAGCGCCGGTGAAGATGTCCCTACCGTCTCGTCCACATCCAGGGAATGGTGCATTTGAGAAGACGTCTGGGGAGGACGATGGCGTGAGTTTGAGAGCTGTAGTGTTGAGGAGTTTGGAGTCCAGCAGTAGAAGCTTTGAGCCACTGCACGCAAGTAGAACCTCATCTTCTTCTGCAGGAACATCTGAGCTCTGGATGTTACTGGCTCCCGATGAAGAATCATAGCCGTTGACGTTAGGCAGATCATCTGCAAAAGAGTTATAACTTATTGTTTTAATAAGTTAAAACAAATTAAAGACTCCCTGAGGTCGTCAAGTTTTTTTTAACGTTGTCTACATGTCTATCTGATGCTTAAAAGACAAACCATGTGCAAATTTATCAGTCAACACCACTGCAGTTTCAAGACAGTTTCAAAAATTCAGTCTGAAAGCCTGTTCCCTACTGTAACATACATGTAGCCAATCCCCTCAATTTGCACAGTGGGACTTTTCATATCATTAGCAGTCGGAGATGGCAAACGGGAACATGGTTTGGGTGACATTAACAACACATTATTAGCTGTTTGATAAAGTAGTCAAGCCAAACGGCAATAATATCAATTACCATTATAGGTCTGACACTGTAGGGAGTGCTGAATAAAATGCATTACCATTCTGATGCACGGACTTGTAGACGAGCCTTTATAATTCGTTCATGAGGACATGAAGACATTATTTGTGTTGAAATGTCATTGAAGTTTAAGGGATAAAGTTAGTGACTGCAGGGGGACTTTTAAAAACAAAAATTAAAGGGGAGAACGCTTACGCTATTAGAAAAATAAATAAATAAATAAATAGCTACAGTACAGGCATCCTGGAAAGGCACTGGTTGGTGAAATGCTTTGTTTTGAAAGAGAATGACAGTTGGTTTATGACAAAGATGAATAAAAATAATAAAAACGACTATTTAAAAGGTTTTTAGGAACATTTAGTTTTGCAGATAGAATCTAAATTTATAGTAATTAAGTACATCTCATTAAAAATAGTGAAATAATGTTGAATCTACCAAATTACTCAAATGTTTTTATCTTTGTAATATACTGACAATCACCTTAAAAAAAAACAGGTGGTAATGAGAAAGCCACATGATGAAACTAAGTTCATCACAAGTAGCTTTTCCACAAGCACAAAGGAGGTGCACAACATCATGCACAAAAATACAAAACACCATGGTAACACACGATACTAAAATAATACAATAAACATTAATTTACCAACATAGGATGTAACATAATCTAGCATAACCCTAATGTGCATAAACAATAAGAAAAAAGCTAAGAACAGTTGGTTCAATGAAAAAACATCAAATGTCAATTTACGTTTTTTTCACTAAATTTACACCATATAGAATAAGAGAACTGTTAACCAATCAACAGGTTTTTAATATAGCATTAGTCTTTTAATGTTAAAAATTACAATCTTTTTTTTTTTTTTTTTTTACAAAAACCTCCATCACCAGTCCAACCAGACCATTCAAAGAAACATCTATAGACGTCCAAACAATGTGAACATTAACATGACCTCCCACATTTATCATCTATTCAGGATGTCACACATTTCACATGAAAAGAGGTTAGCCAACGATAAAAGTGGTCATTTGCATATAGAAGCAGCAGAAACGGCTTGTACAATCTTCAAAAGTGTAGATAACCGCACCTTTGAAGGAGGCTATTTTTGTGTTATACAATGCCAGCGGAAAACGCATGACATGAAGCACAATACCAAATTAGGCTGCTTTTGCTCCGAAGCTCTAATTTATTCATGAACTCCCTGCTTTAAGAGCTCCTTTAAAGTCAATGCGATTTTAATGGAATGAAACACAATAATAAAGTCTCCTAAACGGCAAAATTCCTACAGGCATCCTGGCAAATTTGGCTGCACTGGCTTGTGAAACAATTTGTTTGAAAGAGAATGGCGGTTGGTTTATGACTTAGATTAATGAAAATAATAAGAACAACAAACATAAGATTAATACTTGAAAGGTTTAAGGGCTGATTCAGGTCTGGATGCTGTAGAACTAAGTTATAAAACCAGAAAAGTACCCAGACGTCCTTTAAAGAAATTTTGTTGGATGTGCCCTAAAACAGGGAGAAAGGCCGATGCTTTTGTCTTGTTTTGTGATTCTGCAGACGTCAAAAATGATTAACTTGAGCCACCTGGCCTTCTGTATCTGCCAGGAGTCCATTTCTTTCATCTAAATGCCATTTTGCAATATCCTTGGCCTATTTATCAAATGGGCACCGTATCATCATTTCAAATCAGTAAACACACATTTAGGTCTCAGGTGAAGATCAATATGATTTACTTTTTCCAACTTGGTCTTATAGTGCCAAGTTGCAGAGTTTTTTGTTTTTTTTTGTGAACTTCCAGTTATTTTGCAATATCCTTGGCCTATTTATCAAATGGGCACCGTATCATCATTTCAAATCAGTAAACACACATTTAGGTCTCAGGTGGAGATCAATATGATTTACTTTTTCCAACTCGGTCTTATAGTGCCAAGTTGCAGAGTTTTTTTTTTTTGTGAACTTCCAGTCGGTGTTCAGAACAAAAGTTAAAATGACAAAGGAGGAAGAGAGAGAGATGAGACAGACAACGGCCACAACATGGACGAGGAAATCTTACCTGGAGAAGACACGGCTGTGACAAGGCCAGACCTCCAGCAAAATGTTGTACCATGATAACTAAGAAAAACCCAAACACCTTCAGTATATGATTAGATATTTATGACTGCAGTAAGTAAGAAATAGTAAGTAGGAAATAGAGGCTTGAGTATCACCAATATTATACACACAAAGTTGTTGATAAATATGTCTGGCCTTTCTAAAAATGTTACTAAAAAATAAAACTTTAAATTTTGGTAAAAAAATAAATAAATTATAATAATTGTACAAGAATTTTTCAATTAATGAAGTGCATTTGTTTGACACTCTTCTTAATAAATATTGGTACAAAATAATTTGCATTTTTAATTAATTAATTTTTTTCTTTGTTTACCAACAGTCAGATGCATTTCATTCCCAAAGACTAAAAAAAAGGATGTTACTAAAAAATAAAACTTTAAATTTTGGTAAAAAAAAAAAAAATTATAATAATTGTACAAGAATTTTTCAATTAATCAAGTGCATTTGTTTGACACTCTTCTTAATAAATATTGGTACAAAATAATTTGCATTTTTAATTAATTAATTTTTTTCTTTGTTTACCAACAGTCAGATGCATTTCATTCCCAAAGACTAAAAAAAAGGTTTATAATTTCGGATTATATTATAATTAAAGTTCATTAATTTACATGATTTGCTTGACTGCTTAGAGTGCAAAATGTTTCCACATAAATAATTAACACTGGCACAATTTACATTCACATTTACATGTTTATTTAACACCCCTTTCTTTGTTTATTGATTTTCACAAAAATAGAAGGTGCACATGAACCCATCACTGTTCTAACACTGGGCTGAGGGTGTTTGCTACAGAGACCAATTGGGTTCCAACTCTGAGGATAAACATGGTCATAAATATTGTTTTTCTATGAACAAAAACAGCACATAAAAGGAATCTTTGATTTTTGCACAACAACACAAGTCAAACACTACCCGCGGGGCAAAGACCTCTACTGAGAACTACAAGATGGAGCTTTAGGATTGCATAGGTTAACATGAGAGTCTGCGAATGGCTGTACAGAGGAGAGGCGAGGATATAGAGAACGATCTCATAATCGACACTGCCAACAACAAATATCAGTAATGGAGCCCCCAGCAGCATCTCTTTTCCTCCGCAAGAGGATCGCTGAAGTGCAGTGCTATTCTGCGGTTTTTCATCAATGCCTTCAAGCAAACAAAACGCCTCATAAAACATCCAAAACTTTCATGGAAACGATTTTTTTTTTGTCTTAATGTTTTTTTTTTCCATTACAGAACTTTAGGGTGGGCGGTATAACTAAAAACCTCTATATCACGTTAATGTATATGTCACAGTATATTTATTAGTTGGAAATCCAAAAAATATGTGCGTGTGTGTGTGTGCACGCGAACACAGTTTTATTCAGCAAAGATGCATTAAATCATGTTAAAAGAATATTACTTCAAATATATGCTGTTCTTCTGAACTTTCCAGCAGCACAACCATTTTCAATGTTGATGATGATGATACTAATAATAATAATAGTTTGGTGAGAAGCAAATCAGCATATTAGAATGATTTCTCAATGATCATGCGACACTGTGATCGAATGATGCTGAAAATTCAGCTTTAACATCACAGGAATGAATTACATTTGAAAATATATTTAAAAAGAGAATAGTTACTATAAATTACTAAAATATTTCAACAATTTTACTAATTTTACTGTATTTTTGATTAAATAAATGCAACCTTGGTGAGCCTAAGATATGTTTACTGAACCTGAAGTTTTGTAGTTTTAAGGTTTTATATATATATATATATATATATATATATATATATCTCATTTAAAAGTTTGGGGTATATCTGGCATCAAATGGAAACATAAAACTTAATCTTATGCAAGTAAGAAATAAACAAAACAGGAAGTTCCAACTTTTCTGATCACATAAGTCAAATTTGACAGCATGGGAAAAGTGGTTAATATTTTATAACTGTGCAAATACATCTAAAGTGATGCAAGTATAGCAAAATCTCTATGGGACCGCCCAGGCCTACTGCAGTTGCCCTCGTGAAATGCCAACCGCGGTCTCAAATTCATTTCAAATGCCATTTACAGATTCAATGTCAACAAGCTGATTTTTTTTTTTTTACCCCCTTTTTGGATCTGATCAAAGAACTTCCAATTCTTTAGTATGGCAGCCAGTGATTGGGAGTCTGCTAATATCGTACAGCATCAATGCGAGCATTTTCCATGCTCTCAATCGGGCAGTCTAATGACTCTGTGAATGAAAAGAGAACCTGTGCTTGAAACAGAGGTGCCTGCTGTGGGTCCAGCTGTCCGAATGAAGCAGATAAACCATGTCAAAGACAGAACGACCTCACCACTTTCAACAACTAAGACTAGCTATTTATTTACCTCACGTCCACACATACACGCACACACATACGTACAGTACTGATATGAAGATTGGCCACAGACATGTCTTAACTTCATATTCATAAACACTGCCATGCTTCGATATGCGTCTGATTCACGAGGATTGTGCAAGAAAGCATGGCATCGGGCTGTAGTTTCGAGGATGATTTGAATACGTACGCCATTGAGGATTGTAGAGCATTTCCCTCAAGACTACAACCTGTTTTTGTTGACTATAAACATCTGAGAATAAAAGGCAGCGAAAAACCGAAAACAAATCCAGTCGATTTGCTCACGAATGGCGTTAAACCGTGTCAGGACGCTTCAAGATTGTCCTCTTTTCTTAATCGACTTTGTTCAGCAATGACGATCTGGCCGTTAGAAGATGAAACCGACAATTTACATTCGCAAACACGTCTCAACACACAGAACAAAGAGATAAAGTTTCCTCTTAAATAGGTTTCATATACACATATCTGCATTTATATATGGATACTCGATTCATACATTCATTCTCTAACACTATTCATATTCACATATAATCTTAATCGTATATGAAATATTTCTTTTAAATTATCTCATAATGTATACTACGGGGTAAGACTGGGATCTCTGAAGGAATCGCTGGACATTTGGACCAGATGCTTTATACACAGGAGAACAAATCACTTTTGAGGGCGGGAGGGTTGGATACTGCAGATATACACCAATTTCCATTGTTTCAAGTCAACGTACAACATCAATAGAGCCATTTACAAAGAAATAACAGAGAAAATATGGTATGGAGGTCATGAGATGGCGAACGAGTACCACTGATGGCAATGAGGAGCTTCTAGCCGGTTTTGAAGTTTTAAAATCACTCTACATGAAGTTTTAGGATCTGTTCACACCCTGCGGTCAGCCTGGGTTAAGATAAATTCTCACAAGCTGTGCTTGCCTACCTGCCGGTCTGTAAACATCCATGGAAAATATTCCTTCCTGTAAACATTTGTTTCATTTTGTACTTTATTTTCTGTCTGGAGGGAGCCAACTGCTTGAGTCTAAAACCCATGCGTGTTTAATCTGGAGAAGAACTTCCTGAGTGCCACTGAAGACACGGCTAAAGACTGGAGAAGAACAATTTTGATGTTTGAAGCTCAACGCTCTCACTCTTGACTGCGTCGCAGATGAAAAATGTGCATGTACAAAGGAAGAACAGATATGGACGCAGGAGGAAACCAGATTTTGAGCCTGTAGAAAAAGGTCGCACCAGAGTTGAACGAAAAAAGTTGAACAAACTCATCAGGGAGATAAACGTCATGGTGCGGGGGAGGAAAGTGGAGTATGTCAAATCAAATGAGCGATGATGATGAGGATGACGAGAACTGATGGACAACAGCGGCAGGGAAAGAACAAAACGTAAGATGTGAACTGAAGTGACGGAATGATGAAGAACTGATTAAAGAGGGAAATGGACCATAAAAGAGGGTGGAGGACAGGACAAAGGAGAGCAGGAGGGATTCATGGTTAAAGGCAGAAGACTACAGCGGCTGGCATCATCTTCAGCACAGCAGGAATTATCTGTACG